TCTTGACCACTATAGACTCAAGCATCACCTTGTTTTTCCACTCATTCAAGAAACTTTTTAAAAATTTAATTATCTAATGGGTTGGCCCTCATCATGAGCTTCTGTTCCCATTCTGCAGGTGGTGAAGCCCTCTATGGTTCTGAGCCCACAATTCCTGTCCCATGACCAGGGCCAACTCACCAAGGAGCTGCAGCAGCATGTAAAGTCAGTGCCAACCCTCATGCAAGTACCTGAGGAAGGTGAGTGAGCACAGACAGACGGGGCCTGGCGCCCTGGAACAGTTCCTGGTCTCGGCTGCCCCACGTCTCACAGGGGGCCATGCTGGGGGGAGCGTAGGCAGTCACAGTACTGGCTTTTTCCTCCTTTTTCCTTCCATGCAAGTAGCTTAGGGATGGAGTAGAGTAGTTGAATTATTTGGGTAAAAACCACTGTATTGGTCAGGAAGTCAAAAAGAATCATTGCTGGCATGTTAACCTAAAGAAAAACAACCAGATAAGTGTCCAGCAGTACTTCAAAAGGCCATTTATTATCCTGCAACATTTAGGCAGGGAGTTGTGGCTCATGCCTGTAATCCCAGCACTTCAGGAGGCTGAGTCAAGTGAATCACCTGAGGTCAGGAGTTCAGAACCAGCCTGACCAACATGGAGAAACCTTGCTTCTACTAAAAACACAAATTTAGCCGGGTATGGTGGCATGTGCCTGTAGTCTCAGCTACTCGGGAGGCTGAGGCAGGAGAATCGCTTGGACCTGGGAGTCGGAGGTTGAAGTGAGCCAAGATTGCACCACAGCACTCCAGCCTGGGTGACAGAGGGAGAGTCTGTCTTTAAAAAAAAAAAAAATTATTTTGCAAAATTTGAAACAGAAATCAAAATCAGCAGCTTCTAAATTATTTTTAATATGATTCGTAATTAGAAGAACATTTTATATGACATATATAGTTCTATATTTTTGAATCAAATTAATAATATCACATTTATTTTACAAGTAATACTTTTAAAATTCTGCTTCATTTGTTTTGAATGCTCTGTGCAATCTACAGAAAGTCCAATAGTAATAATTAAATTATTCATTAAATTAAACATTATCTTGTCATTTAAAATGATTTCATAAATGATCTTTTGTTTTTGACATTATATGTGTGTATATATGTATGTACATATATTTACATATATAAAAATGTATATATTTACATATATATTTATATATATATTTACATATATATTTATATATATAAAAATATATATGTATGTATATTTTTTTCCTTTTGAAAGAGTGTCTTGCTCTGTCACCCAGGCTGGAGTGTAGTGGCATGATCTTGGCTCACTGCAATCCCTGCCTCCCAGGTTCAGGTGATTCTTCTGCCTCAGCCTCCCAAGTAGCCGGAACTAGAGGTGCATGCCACCACACCTGGCTAATTTTTGTATTTTTAGTAGAGACGGGGGTTTCACCATATTGGCCAGGCTGGTCTCAACCTCCTGGTTTCATGATCCACCCGCCTTGGCCTCCCAAAGTTCTGGGAATACAAGCATGACCCATCGTGACAGGTCAAGATAAAAAATTTTTAACAATATGCTATTAAGAGAAAAACACTAGATATGAAAGAGTATTCATAGTTTTCTCCTATCTGTTTAAAAATAAAGATTGAAAGAATACATATGCAAGTAAGTTTACTTTTCTGGTAATAATTTGCTGCATTGTCTGAATATTGACAATCACTGTGCATTATGAAGTTACATGGCTGATATAAAGTACTCACTGTGTGCGCCAGACCCTGGGCTCAGTGCTCTACATGGATTTTTATTTCATTTCATTCTCTCCACAACCTGAAGTAGTATAACCAACTCATTTTACAGAATTGAAACGGAGGCTCAGAGAATGAAAGTTAAATGCCTGAGGTTGCAGTTAATAAGAGGCAGAGCTGGAACTGAAGCTTATGTGTGTCCTACAACCAGTTTATGTTCTGATGGTAGGCCAGTCTGCTTCACAGAGCATGGAGTAGATAGTGTGTGCCTGCTAGGATGGACCAGGTATCGCTGTAGGCAATAAACAGGCCCCCAACATGGAAATGTACAACACTGAAGGCTCTTTTCCCACTCACGCTGCACATCCTCCATGGCGCTCCTGGGCCCTGTGCTCCACATCCCCTCATCTGCCACCCGAATAAAGGAGCAGCCTCTATATGGGACCTATCAGCGGCTCTAATATATGAAGGAAAGGGTGGCCAGTCTGAATGGCTTCCAGCTCTTTTGACTCGAGGTGACACACTTCACTTCCACTCACATCTCCTGAGTCAAAGCAAATCCCATAACTACCTCCACCTTCAAGGGGCCCAGAGGAGAACCTGAAATACTCAGTGGACTCTGCTAGGGCTACCATACAGTGTCAGCCTGTGTGGGAAACTGTGGAGGGGCAGAGGAGGAGAGTGGAGAATTGATAGGAAATGACAGCAGGACTGAGTCACCTCTGATTTGCTTTATCCTCAGCCAGGTGGAGTTTGTCCCAGAGCTGCACAAAATCAGCAGCAGCATGATCAAACAGGGTAAACCTCAGAAAAAGGAGTTTGTTCAGTTGTGATCAGCAGTGAGCTCAGAATTAGCTGAGTGGCACTGCGTCAGTAAATCTCTGATTGCCTCATTTACCCCGTATGATAGTGGTGAAGATGGGAGCATTGCAAGAGATGATTTGGAAGGCTATCAGGAGTGGGAACATTCAGCATTTTAGTTCCTTTAAGTTAAATCAGGTGCTATCTTTCCTGTAAGTCCCCTGTTTCAGATTTTACAGGTGAGAGTGCTCAGATTAGGGCTGGAGGTCATGAAATATTGGCTCCCACACCAACAGTTCCCCTGTGTCGTGCATGCATTCTGTGCACTTTCCTGTGCTAAGCACTGTCCCAGAACATTGTGGGGCCTGATTCTTCCTCCTTGTTCCAGTGGCCCTGGGTAACTCAAGTGCCCATTCAATGACCAGGACACAGAGGTCTTAGAGGGATGCTCTGTGAGGCCCCAGGTGCTAGCCACTGCCCTGCCAAAGTGTGAGGCAAGGGACAGGGCATCGTCTGTGGGAGCAGTGGTCAGCCAGGCCTGGTGACTCTACTTGGTGGATAGATGATCCCACACCTGCCACCTCCGATGGATCCACTGCCTCTGTGCCTGTTTGTCCTGCCAATGCTCCAGTGGCTGTCTTAGCATCCCAGCCTAGGCCTAATGCCACTAAAGACAGACCTGGCCCCTGGGGACCCAGGAGACCTACAGGACTCACTCAGCTGTCCCCAGGAGTCCCCAGACCCTCATTGATATCAAGGACCTAGGACCCCTAACCCGTGACTCTCCGTCATCAGCCATAAATGATGATTTGCTGCTGTTATGATCATCACTGCCTTTAGTGCCAAGGGCCTTCCCAGGTGCCAGCTCTGGAAGGAAAGGTGTCCTTGTGATGTGATGACACTCAGTACATGGGTGCTCAGCAGGTTGCTTCCCCTTGTCCTCACACAGCCTTTGACACAGCCATTGACACTCCCATTGTGTGGAAGGAAACCAGCCCAGCGTCACACAGCTGGTCCCAAATCTAAGGTGTGTGGCTGTGCCTCCACGAGGGACCTGCCTGCAAGGGAGGTTGACCCTGGCTTTGGGGAGCCTTTCCTGGGCTACATGAATCACCTCCCCAAACTCTGCTCACATCTCCTTCCTTGCCCTGTCTCTGCTTGGGCTATAATCAAAGTGACCCCAGCAACCCTTCATGGACGTCATGGTACTCTCTGCCATTCACTTTTGGGCTAATCTGACTTCAACACCCACTTACTTGGTCTCTCCTTTCACAACCAAGACAACCCAAATCTGGGGCTCTTTATGCAGGTGACAGCATACGAATAGAATTGAATGCCATAGTTGTGTTATCACTGTTTCATTTTGCTTGTGTCTCAGGGTTGTTTTTCTATTTATGATAAAGGCATTTGTAGCAAGAATAGAATATTTGCAGTTTACAGTAACTTTACATCATAGTAAACTGTAAAGACACTGAAAGCAGTGATTTTCAGCTGCGAGAGGCCTGAGTGAGTTTGAGCACACTCTGTGTGATCAGGCAGAAGCAGGCCTTTGGGAAGTGTAGCTGGGGGTCTGATCTGGTCACCAGACCACTGAGTCCTGCCCACCTGCCTGGCACTCCCCACCCATCACTCATGATCTGCTAAATCCTCTGGGTATTGTGGCCAAATCCCCCAGGAGAGAGGCTCATGAACTTTGTCTCTTGAAATGCACAGATTCCGTGGCCATCCGTGGGAAGTCAACCATGAGAGTCAACTTGGTTTTCTCCTCCTCATTAGGGTTCAGAATTAAAAGTCCACCTTCACAGGCAGTAAGATAATATAGATAAGTGACAACATCACACTGTTTCAGATGTTAACATGGCTAGGTGGGTTAGGGGTGATTTGAGACCACACAACCTTGTGCCACAAAGTGGAATTCCTGGGCTAGAGGGAGACATTTGATTGTCATGTTATGATCTTATCACTGAGTATAAAAGCAGTCTTGTTTCATTTTGGATTCTTATAAACATAAGAAAGAATGTTTATGTTTATGTTTCTTATGTTTATATGCTTTGAATTTCCAAGCATATAATAATTTTTAGATAGCTTTTAATCATTGACTTCTAGCACAATTCTATGATCAGAAACATGCTGCGTGATTGGATTTCTCTGAAATATGCTGAGATTTGCTTGATGAACAAGATAATTGCGTTTAATTTTTGTAAATGTACCATGCATGCATACTTAAAATGAATGTTGCTCCACATCCCCTCATCTGCCATCATCTGAGATACAGGATGATGGACGATGGCTCCATGGATGTGATGGAGATGCTTTACTATCGGGACCCTCTGCATCCTTCTGATGTTTTGTTGCTTAGAATATGAATGGCTGAGAGGGGGCTGTGGAGCTCCTACTCTGCTTGTGTGTGGGGTTCTTCCTGCCATCCTGCCATCATTTGTTTCTTATGTTTTGCAGCCAAGACTGACTGTGAGAAACCCTGGGAGCTCAGGAAGGAAGGAGCCGCTCAGAAGCAGGGACAGGGAGCTGGTGGGAAAGACCAGAAGTGAGGTCTGTGAAGGTTCCAGAGAGGACCTGTCCTTGGAAGTCAAGTAAGGGGCCTGAGATGGGGGAGGGGCATTGGAGGACACAGGTGCTCTGTGGAATGTCCACTGTGAGGTACCACGTTCCGAGGCCTGTGATTGGTGGAGAGGGAGTATAAAGCCCCAGGGTTGCTTAGGCAGCGCCCAAACAGGAGAAGGTTTGGTGGAAACCAGAGCCCTGGTCTCCGCCTAATTGCTCCTGAGCCTCCTGCTTTCTTGCCCCGCATATCCTGTTGCTTCCCTGATAGACTTTCTCCCTGACTTGTAGCTGAACCTCCCACTCTCCCTTGAAGACTTAGTTTAAACCGGATCCTTTCCCGGACCGTTCTCCTCCCCCTCCACCGGGTGCCCAACATCCCCTTTCCCCTCCCTCCCCTTCCCTTCCATCCCCATCCCCTTCCTTCCCCCAGCCCTAAGCCGCAGCCATCTCTGTCCTGGCCGCCTCAGGGCACCCTGAGAAGACCAGGAGATGTGGGTGTGGCGGCTGCTCTTTTGGCTCCTCCTGCTGGAGTTTCTCAGCCATCACTCCACCCTTGTGAGTAGACACTGGACCCTAGTTTCTTCCTTGTTATTGGGCTGTGTCATGTGGCACATTACACAGTGCAGGCCTGTAATTTCAGCGCTTTGGGGGGTTAAGGTGGGCAGATCACCTGAGTCCAGAAGTTCAAGACTAACCTGGGCATCATAGCCAAACCCCATCCTTACAAAAGATTCCAAAAATGATGAGTCAGGCCTGGTGTCTCACGGCTGTAGTCTCAGCTACTGGAGAGGCTGAGGTGGGAGGATCACTTGGGCCCAGGAGTTGGAGGTTGCAGTGAGCCGAGATCGCCCACTGCCTCTTGTCTCAAACAAAATGAACCAAAACAAAGTGAAATGTCATCTAAGTTTTGTGTCATCTGGTTTGATGACTTTTTAGGAAATTCTGTGTCATCCCTGTCTTCTGCTCTTGGGGGCTGCCTCTAGGGAGTCTGTGTCCAGTCAGTGTGATGGGAGCTGAGCAGCCCATCAGATGGAGAGGAAAGGGCTGCACCTGCTGGGAGGTTTGCAATGCGGGAGTCACTAGGACTGACAGGACCAGGATGTGAATGATTGTATTGTCCTTTGTTTTGTAAAGTGTGTATGGTGTAGGTCATTGATTGACCCAAAGAAGAAAGGGTCTTCAAGTCCTTGTGTTATCCAAACATAAAGAAATGATGGGCCTGGTGTAGTGGCTCACTCCTATAATTGAGAGGCTGAGGCTGGTGGATTAGTTGAGGTCAGGAGTTCCAGACCAGCCTGACCAACATGGTGAAACCAGATCTCTACTAAAAAATATAGAAATTAGCTGGGCATAGTGGCAGGCACCTGTAATCCCAGCTACTCTAAAGGCTGAGGCAGGAGAATGGCTTGAACCCAGGCGTCAGAGGTTGTAGCGAGCCGAGATTGTGCCATTGCACTCCAGCCTGGGCAACTGAGTGGGACACTGTCTCAAAAAAAAAAAAATTTTTTTTTTTGGTTGGTAGTTTTTCTTTTTTTGAGACACAGTTTCCCTCTTGTCTCCTGGGCTGGAGTGCAATGGTGCGATCTCAGCTCATTGAAACCTCTGCCTCCCTCGTTCAAGTGATTCTGCTGCCTCAGCCTCCTGAGTAGCTGCGATTCCAGGCCCTTGCCACCACACCTGCCTAATTTTTGTATTTTTAGTTGAGACAAGGTTTCACCATGTTGGCCAGGCTGGTCTGGAACTCCTGAACTCAGGTGATCAGCCGGTTTCAGCATTCTCACAGTGCTAGGATTACAGGCGTGGGCCACTGTGCCTGGCCTTTTTCTGATTTTTTTTAGATCATCAGCTATTATTAGTATTAATGTATTTTATGTGTGGCCTAAGACAACTTTTCTTCTTTTAATATTGCCCAAGGAAGACATAAAATTGGATATCCCTGCTTTACATCAAGAAAAAAACACACTCTACATTTGGAATGCCTAAAAACACTACCAGCTATGCAAAAACCATGAGACTCATAACTTCCAATCCGTTTTGAAGCAGTGGAATCCCCTGGTGATATCTGAGGGGTGTGGTTTCCTCTTGGAGGAGGTTGAATGGTTTCTAAAGATTATTATTATTTACTGAAATATTATAAATGTCATTCACCTTTTAATTATTTGAACTATTATTATTCCAGGCGATCAGGTTTCTACTTGATTATTTGTATCCTGGACACGACTTTCTTGGCATTCGGTGGATGCTTTTCACTACTGTGTTTCTGGGAGTTTCTACAGTTGGCCTTTTCCTCCAAAAAATTATCTTCTGTGTGAGTATACTAACTTCCTGTAAAGGTATACTTGTAATCAAAAAGAAGAAATTATTTAAAACAATTCATGGTTCTGGACTTTATTATGTATATTCAGTTTTACCAAAAACATCAGGGAAATGATTTATTAGCATAAGAATTATAAAAATATCTGCCATTTACATTATGAAAATTAAATAGGTTGATGTTTGTTTAATAGAATGTCAACAGAGCTTTGGGTCAAACATAAGGTTTTTTTTTTTTAAACCTTTGTGCCCTTTATCAGAAATGGAGTATGAAGTTTTGGCATTTAAATAGGAAATTCTGTCTAAACTTTTCTGCTTTATAATTCTATTGTGTGGCTGGAAGGAAAGCTTTCACTGTCCTCTCTAATGGTTCACCGCAGAAGTGAACTAACAACAGACAGCTTAACAGGAGAAGAAAAGCATAGGACAGGCATAAACATGGGAGCCAGGCAAAAAATGAGACTGTAAGAAGGGTCAGATGGTTAAAAAGCACCCTCTTTTCAGGGGCGAGGGAGATAGATGGAGGTGGAGGCAATTTAGAGGGGCAGCAAATGAATTTTAAAGGAAATGAAAGAGTCCAAGGAACAAACAGTTGGCCTGAGACAAAGTTCCTCTGAGATCATAGGGACAAGGTGACAAACTGCAGGAAGGTGAAGGGCAGAGCTGCATGGCATCTCATGATGCAAAGAAAGCCCCAGAGAATCTGTTGGAACTGCCCTTCAGAGAATCAGTGAAAAGTGTGTCTGGGCAGGGTCATTTTGAATGACGTCATCAAAGTGCATGTTCCCGGTTGCAGGTGGAGAGGGATCAGTATGTCCAAAGTCTGTACTTGATAGGAATTTGGCTGCTAAGTTGTGCCATCATTTGAGTTTTTTTGTCCATTGGGTAAATTGAGCTCTATATTTTCTCTTGCCTTTCATGACAGTAAAAAATGTGGTTGTCTGGGGGCTGACCCTCCTTCTGAACAATGATCCAAGGAAAAAGCACTCACTAATCCCACAATGCTGTTTTATATTCAAGGGAAGAGGAAGTACGTTTTATTTTTACATTGTAGATAATTACCTACCCTTTGGGACTGCTTTTCATGATACGTAGAAAACAAAATAGATGAGTTATGAAGATATCTAGGCACATTTAACAGTCTCTCCTTTTTTTTTTTTGAAACGAAGCCTCACTCTCTGGCCAAGGCTGGAGTGCAGTGGCATAATCTCAGGTCACTGCAACCTCTGCCTTCCAGGTTCCAGTGACTTTCCTGCCCCAGCCTCCCAAGTAGCTGGAATTATAGTGCACCATTATTTCCGGGTAATTTTTGTATTTTTGGTAGAGATGGGATTTCACCATTTTTGCCAGGTAGGTCTTGAACTGTGAACTCAGGTGATCCACCTGCAGCAGCCTCCAAAAGTTCTGGGATTACAGGTGTGAGCCACCATGCCCTGCCGCATTTTACAGTCTCTACCCCACTTAGTCCTTAACAGAGAATTTTCGATATAAATTGGGGGAAGTTTTCTTTTTTTTGACAGAATCTGGCTCTGTCACCCAGATTGGAGTATAATGGTGTGATCTTGGTTCACTGCAACCTCTACCTCCTGGATTTAAGTGATTCTCCTGCCTCAGCCTCCCTGAGCAGCTGGAACGACAGGCAGTTGCCACCACACCCAGCTAATTTTTGTATTTTTAGTAGAGATGGAGTCTCACCGTGTTTGCCAGGCTGGTCTGAAACTCCCAATCTCAAGTGATCCACCCACCTCAGACTCTCAAAGTGCTGGGATTACAAGCGTGAGCCACCATGCCTGGGGTGGGGATATTTTTTAAAGTGTCGGTTCTGATTTTAACTCCCAGGTAATACAAATTTCTGGGAGTTAAAATCAGAAAAAACAAATTCTACAAAGAACTTGAAAGATGTTCTTTCAGCCTGGGCGTGGTGGCTTTTTCAGATCGTCTCTTTGCAAGAAAGGGTAAGTTTGACAACTGGGTAAGTTTTGTTTGTTTGTTTTCCTTGCTTTTGGACATAGTCTGCCGGGTCAGGACGTGGATGTATTTTTCTTTCCACAGCTCTGTGCTCAAGCCTTCGAGAGGAAGACGGCCGAGAGGAAGCCTGCCTACAAGAAGCACAGGTAGGTCATTGTAAAGGATTTTTTTTTCTTTTTGAGTCAGAATCTCGCTCTTTCTCTCAGACTGGAGTGCAGTGGTGCAGTCTCAGCTCACTGCAACCTCCAATTCCTGGGTTCAAGCAATTCTCTGCCTCAGCCTCCCGAGTAGCTGGGATTACAAGCATGAACCACTACACCTGACTAATTTTGTAATTTTGGTAGAGACAGAGTTTCTACATGTTGGTCAGGCTGGTCTCAAACTCCCGACCTCAGGTGATCTGCTCACCTCAGCCTCCCAAAGTGCTGGGATTGCAGGCGTGAGCCACCGTGCCCAGTTGTGACGGTCACTTTTAAGGATGTTTTTGTTTTAAGATGAAGCTTTGAGTGTCTAGTAAAGAACATGGTGTTTTAATTCTTCTTCAAGTCAATTCTTTCTCTGTTTTCTAAATGGGAAAGGAAGAGAAAGCAGAGAGTGCCAAAGAGACACATTAGTGAGGAGCCAGTCCAGAAACGCCTGTGCCTGGAGAACGCTTTCTGGAGAGGTAGGAGCTCCCATGAAGGCAGCTGCTTAATTTCTGCTGCAAAATCTATACACTCCGCCTCTCCTTTTTGGGGGTGAGGGCTTGGGTGGGGTAATTGTCATATTTCCTGGAAACAGTTCAAGCACTTATGAAGAGAAGAGTTGTCCCGTTGGGTGACAGGGCCCCATTTTTCTCAGGCGTCTTAGCTGAATGGCTCTTGGCTGGTCCCCTGTGAATGGTACAGTTCAGGCCCCTCCACTGACTGTGAACATTGCCCCACCCTGACGTCTTGGTTACTTTTAACTGTGAAGACAAGCCTGCAAGGCAAATGGGCCAGCTCCCCTTCCCACCTTGAGTCAGTGTGAAGGCTTTATTTTTCTTTCATTTGAGAAAAGTCCAACAATAGCATTTTAAATGGGAGCTGTAAGTGCTGATAAGAACAGAGATTTTTGGGCAATGTCTTCATGGATCAATAAGGCAGTATCATGAGGTCTGCTTTAAGAAAAGAATCATTTATTTGCACTTTTTGGAACTCCATTCTTTTTGCTTATTTAAATTGTTTATTGTGAATTATATAACTCCTTTAGTAAGCTAAATATCTGTGTAATCTTAATCCTCTAACATTTGAAGTGTGACCCTAAAACTTTCCAGTTAATTTCTTTCTTTTCTTTTCTTTTGGAAAACCTTGCTCTGTCACCCAGGCTGGAGTACAGTGGTGCGATTCTTGCTCACTGCAACAACCGCCTCCCAGGTTTAAGCAATTCTCCTGCCTCAGCCTCCCAAGTAACTGGAACTACATGCGCCTGCCACTATGCCTGGCAAATTTTTTTAATTTTGTATTTTTAGTAGAGACAGAGTTTCACCATGTTGGCCAGGCTTGCCTCTAATTCTTGACCTCAAGTCATCTGCCCACCTTGGCCCTCCAAAGTGCTGGGATTACGAGTGTGAGCCACCACACCCAGCCTCCATTTAATTTCTGTAAATCTGACCTTTTCTCATGAGTATTAGTCTCTTTATACTCATTTCTCTTCATAAATATTGACAATGCCTGGTGAGATATGGAGGATAGATTCACTATGAATCCACAGAATTTTAAATGCCCCTATAGCTTGAAGAAAAGCAGCAGTGCTGCTGCTGTCCTGGGCCTATAAATGTTCTTCCCATCTATGGCTGTTTCTATTTTAATTTGGAGTCTGCAATCACATGATGGGTGATTTCCTTTGATGTGTACTGGGAACCCCTGATTTCAAGCTCATTTCCAGCTGGTTAGAGCCTGACCTGTCCACAGCCTGTTGAGAGTTAAGAATACCCCTGGACCAGGGATCTGCAGTGTCTTCCTCAGGGCTGAGGCCCAGAGGGCTCCAGAGTCCTCTGAGGCATCTGCCAATAAACCCTGTGCCTCTGGTAAGGGACATGAGTGTGGCAAAGAGAGTGAGATGGCAGCGGAGGGCGTGGAGGGTTTCTTATTCGGCACAGAACATGGAAGCCAGATTTAGCGCCATTCCCTTCTCTGGCCCTTAGCAGATTCAGGACCTCATTCGGTTCCCATGAGGAACAGCAGCTGCGTCCCAACTGAAAACACAGAGAAGACAAAGGTAAATGCTGGGGTCATTTTCACTTTGCCTGTATCAGGACACTGTATTCTTTTTCACCATCACTCTCTCCTGGCCTGGCCTCTGCTCTGTGGGTTCTGTGATATGTTTTCTGTCTGGACTTTTTCAGAAGCAACATCTTCCCCATAAGCTTTCTGGCTTCTCCATTCCCAGCTAGTCATCTTGGGTGGCGCCTCCAGAAGCCGTCAATGCTTAGGGACTGAGGGCTGACGGGCTTTTACTGTTCTGTTTCCAGAAATAACATGAGGAATGTCACCGACCTCCACCTCTGTAGGCCTCATGGCCCAGTGAACTCTGACTGATCTCTTTTACTCAAGGTGTTGTGGGATCTATTTCAGAAACATGTGGGGTTTTATTTTGCTGTGATTTTGTTTGTTTTCTTCTATAAGGTAGGTGATTAACATTTGAAATAACTGCTGTATGCCCAGAAGTGATGAAAGTGAAAACTCATTAATCCAATATTCATATGTGCTTTGTGCAGTTTTGAATGCCCTTCAACAAGGTCAATTCCATAGTTAATCACAGTCCCATTCCTGTTGTAAACTGTGTTGTATAAAAACCCGCCTTCACCCTGCTTCAGTGGTGCCCTGATCTAATATTCTAAGTGTCAGAGTTTATGTACTTGTAATAGAAAATACAGTATGTCTTGACTGTGAGTTAGTGAAAGTGAATGTAACCTATTACCCACAGCGACGATTCCCAATGAAGGCTTTAATTAATTGATGCTCAGTTATGCTCGTTCTCGTGTGGCCTCTGTACTTACAATAGCTGCTGAGGCTTATGATTACACCTGATGGGAACTGTACACTTGAAATTGAACGCATTTCTAAAGCTTGCTTGTTTCAGAATTCATACCTCATTTTCCCATGTACAAAAGTATTATTTATGTCATGATGCACTTAAAATTTGTATAGCCTGGGAATTCAAAGAAATATTCTAGCTGTGCCTAACTGACTTCTGTATGTCGGATTGTTCCATCAGAAAACTTTCTTCCAGTTCCCCTGAATGTCTTCAGGAACGCACATTTCCCCAGAGCCATTTGTGCTCATGGGGGGAACCCCCAGAATGAACAAGACCTTTTGTCAAGAAGGGAAGCAGAGGGGAAATGAGAGGGTCCTGCAGGCAAAGCTAGAGTCAACTCCCACTGTGCCTCCTGCAAGCTGTGTGACCCTGGGCACATGCTCTCCTTCCTCGGGCAGCCTCCGTTTTCTTAGATTTGGAGCAGGTGGTCACACTGACTTGCAGAGTTCTGAGAATCAGAGACAGAACATAAAAGGCCTGGGGGACATTCTCCAAAAAGAAGCTGCAACATATGTGGACAATGGGCTTTTCATGCCTCTCTTACTCGCTGTTTATCTGATGCAAGGAGCATGCTCTGGTGACGGCGGTGAGGGAGGAATGAGGATAGACATAGGCACTCCCGTGTTGGAAACGTGCTTCTTCCTTACTGCGCTATGACTCTGTCTCCCCTGGGGCAGGCCCCCAGCCTGCCTACATTTGCAGACAGGCATAGTGGCATGTGGAGAAAACAGTTTGTCCTAATTACTTTTCCTCACTCCCCAGCTGTCGGTGGTACTTAGTGGAAGGGTGACTTCATGATACTGGTGTGCTATTTTGAAACCCGGAGGATGCAAAGGTGCAAAAAACCAACAGCAACATAAGGTTCAGCCTGTGTTGTTGATGGTGGTTCTGTCCATCAAATTAATACATTTCAAAACACTCCTTCCTTCTGCCTGCAGGTTAACATGGCTGCAGCACAGCATCGTCATTGCTCAGGATTGCCCTACTCCCCCTACTTCATGGCTGATCCTTCAAGGCCACTGACGGCTTGCCAGCCACCTCCTCCATCTGGGTGTCACCTGGGAGCTCAACCATTTCCATCAGCTAAAGGTGTTCTGGGACCTCTGACAAATCCTCAACTCCAGTGTCCTCTAGGACCTCGGCCACCTTCTCCAACTGATAATTTTTGGGGACCACAGACACCTACACATGAATGTTTTCTGGCATCTCTCCCACCTTCTGCAGGCCACGATTTTCTGAGTCCATACACAACTCCACCCGAGTGTCTTCTGACACCTCTACCACCATCTACAGATGATGAGTTTTCGAGACCACAGACACCTACATATGACGGTGTTCTGTTACCTCTACCGCCCTTAGCCAATGATTTTCTGAGTCCATATACAACTCCACCTGAGTGTCTTCTGACACCTCTACCACCATCTACAGATGATGAGTTTTCGAGACCACAGACACCTACATATGACAGTGTTCTGTTACCTCTACCGCTCTTAGCCAATGATTTTCTGAGTCCATACACAACTCCAGCTGAGTGTCTTCTGACACCTCTACCACCATCTACAGATGATGAGTTTTAGAAACCACAGACACCTACACATGAGGGTCTTCTGTTCCCTCTACTTCCCTTAGCCAATGATTTTCTGAGTCCATACACAGCTCCACCCGACTGTCTTTGGGCACCTCTACCATCTTCTGTAGATGATAATCTTTGGAGATCACAGATACCACCATTCGAGTGTCTTCTGGCACCTCTACCACTGTCTCCAGATGATAGTCATTGGAGACCGAAGACACCACCATTCGAGTGTCTTCTGGCGCCTCTACCACCTTCTCCAGATGATAACCTTTGGAGACCACGGACACCACCATTCGAGTGTCTTCTGGCACCTCTACCACTTTCTCCAGATGATAACCATTGGAGACCATGAACACCACCACTGGAGTGTCTTCTGGCACCTCTACCACATTCTCTAGATGATAGTCTTTGGAGACCACTGACCCCACTATTCCAGTGTCTTCTGCTACATATACCATCATCTCCAGCTGATGATTTTCTGAAACCACATACACCATCCATCCAGTGTTCTCTGGGTCCTCAACCACTTTCTCTAACTGATAATTTTTTGAGATTACAGGTAGCGCCACCATTTGAGTGTCCTCTCCAGCCTCAACTACCTATTTCAATAGAGTGCCTTCTGGTATCTCTTCACCTTCTTGATGATTTTCTGAGACCACAGACACCTCTACCTGAGTGTACTCTAGTACCTCTACCTCTGTCTTTAGCTGAAGATTTTCCAAGACCCAACTCACCTCAATTTGAGTGTCTTCTGGTATCTCTACCACCGTCGCCAGCTGAAGATGTTCTAAGACCTCACACACGTCCACTTGAGTGTTCTCTGATATCTCTACCACTATCTCAAGTTGAAGACTTTCTGAGACCACACACCCCTCCACCCGAGTGTACTCTGTTACCTCTACCACCATCTCAAGCTGAAGATTTTCTGAGACCACACACACCTCCACCCGAGTGTAATCTGTTACCTCTACCACCGTCTCAAGCTGAAGACTTTCTGAGACCACACACACCTCCACCCAAGTGTAATCTGTTACCTGTACCACCTTCTTCAGCTAATGATTTTCTGAGGCCACAGGCAACTCCACCACTTGAGTGTTTTCTGGAACCTCAACCTCCTATTTCACTCACGTGTCCTCTGGGACTTCAACCACCTACTTCACTTGAATGTCCTGTGCCACCTCAATCATCTTCTCCAAGTGAAGATTCTCTGAGACCACAGTCACCTCCTCCAGTCAAGTGCTCTCTGGTACCTCCATCATCTTCTCCAGCTGGTGATCTTCTGAAACCACAGACACTTCCAGCAATTGAGTGTCCTCTGGGACCTCCTTCATGTCTTCCAGCTGTTTGTTTTGTGGGATCTCCACCATCTCCTCGAGCTGCATCTCCTATGGGACTTTATCCACCTCATCCACCTGTCTGTCCTGCTGTACCTCAGCCACCTGATCCTATCTGTCCTGGGGAACCCCATCCACCTCATCCCTCTATGTGTCCTGGGGGACCCAATCCACCTCATTCCCCTGTGTGTCCTGGGGGACCTCATCCACCTCATTGACCTGTGTGTCCCGGGGGACCTCATCCACGTCATTGCCCTGTGTGTCCCGGGGGACCCCATCCACCTCATTGCCCTGAGTGTCCTGGGGAACCCCATCCACCTCATCCCTCTGTGTGTCCTGGGGGACCTCATCCACCTCATCATCCTGTGTGTCCTGGGTTACCCCATCCACCTCATTGCCCTGTGTTTCCTGGGGGACCCCATCCACCTCATCACCCTGTGTGTCCTGGGGGACCCCATCCACCTCATCCCTTTGTGTGTCCTGTGGGACCCCATCCACCTCATCCATCTATCTTTCCTTGGGGACCCCATTCACCTCATCCATCTGTCTTACCTGGGGGACCCCATCCACCTCATCCAGCTGTATTTCCTCTTGGACCTTATCTTCTTCCTCCAGCAGTGTGGCATCTGGGTCCTCAGCCTACTTGTCCACTTAGTGGCCACTGGCACCTTGGCCACCTTCTCTACCTTGGTAGGCTCCCTTAGCTATCACCTTCAAATGAGTCTCCTCTAGTACCTAAAGTATCTCCTCACGACCTCTCAGCCCTCAGCCACCTCCTTCCCCTAGGCCTTCTCTAGTACTTCAGCCACCTCCTTCACTTGGCTGACCTGCTGTCTCGGCTGACACTCCGCCTTCACTTGACTTGGCCTCACACTTCACCCCCTCCTCAAGTCATGTGGCCTCTGACACCTCGACCAACACCTCTAAATGCACCACTTGATGTGTTGATTTGAATGGTATAAAGTAATTTGTAAAAAAAAAATCAATCTCTTCTTTTTTCGAGTGAATAGAAAGAAATGTCGCAGATGGTACTGCAGGGCTTTGCAGTACAAGGGTAACACTGGCGGAGATCTTGGTCACTTTTCTCAAGTTTCTGAGAGTACTCAGTCGGTTGCATTATTTCCTCATCATGAGTTTAACAGCAGATATCTCCTGTAGATAAAGACAGATTTTTTATTTTTTGTGGGGACAGAGCCTCACTGCATCACCCAGGCTGGAGTGCAGTGGTGCAATCCTGGCTCAGTGCAACCTCCACCTCCAGGGTTCAGGTGATCCTCCCACCTTAGCCTCCAGAGGAGTGGCTGGGGCTACAGTCACACACCACCACATTTGGCACTTTTTTATTTTTATCTTTATGTTTTTTGAGACAAAGTCTTACTCTGTTGTCAGGCTGTAATGCCGTGGTGTCATCTTGGCTGACTGCAACCTCTGACTCTTAGGTTCAAGCAATTCTCCTGCCTCAGCCTCCCAAGTAGCTGGGACTACTGGTCCATGTCACCATGCCCAACTATTTTTTTTGTATTTTTAGTAGGTACATGGTTTCATCATGTTGTCCAGGACAGCCTTGATCTATTGATTGACTCGTGATCTGCTTGCCTTGGACTCCGAAAGTGCTGGGATTACACACATGAGCCACACTGCCCAGCCTTTCTTTCTTTCTTTTTTCTTTTGAGATGGAGTCTCACTTTGTCACCCAGGCTGGAGTGCAGTGGTGTGA